GTTGCCATCACTAATCTGGCATCATTGGGACCTGTAGGGTGCTGGATTAGTGATTTTGCTGGATTACAGAGTGGTTAGAATACACTTAACCCACCAGCGATATTTACGCATCGACGATTTCACCCACTTAACACACTATTTTTGGCCAATTCCATTGTTCCAGTCTACCAAACTTATAGCTATTTTGTTAGTATTCCTTCTATTCTGTCGATTGAGTACAAGAAACTGCCCATTCACCTATTTCAACTACTCAATAAAGTGGTCAGAAATAAGTAATTTGGCCAATTTCACAGAAATTTCAAAAGATGCCAATTTCAAAATAGGGCGCACAATTAACAATGCAAACATTCCTGGCATTACTCATGTCTCCAGGCCCCTCTTACATCATGCTTGCTTTCCATTTTGAATTTTTATTCACACAAATAACAGAAGATTTACTGTTATGCAGACTACTGTATTATTGTAATAATTGCATAAATAATAGCAACCCATTTGTGACTGCATATTAGACATGTATTGGACAGTGATGCATATTGAACAGTGATGTCATTTGTTTACTCTTGAACATCAGCAAAAATCAAACATTTCTGCTACTTTGAGCTTAATTTATATCTATTTCTGTAATATACAGTGGAACCTCTCCTTGCGAGCGCATCCACATGCAAGTTTTTCCAAATATGAGCAGTTGATTGGTCAATTTTTTGCTTCCATATGTGAACAAAATTTCCATAAGCGAGTGGGCCTCAAGAGAGGTTCCTTGACACTGATGAAGGGCTCTTGCTCTTGATCTAGAGAATTGGATCTCATTTGTTTGTTGGACTATCTTACTGAAACTTGGGCAATGTATGATGGAAAGATGCTTCTTAACGTACACCAAAAATGAAAGAAATCGAACCATAAATAATGGAGTTCACTTCTCAGAAATAAGCCTCCCATTAGCGGTATTTTTGTATGGTTTTTATGGTTGTAGTCTTGTTTTTTTGGTCTCATTTGATAGAATGAAAGATATATTACAGAAAAAGATATTATTTTGATTGGTTTCACAACGAAAAGTACCTTGAAATTGAGCTCAAAGTAGGAGAAATGTTTGATTCTTTGGCAATGTTAAGAGTAAACAAATGATGTAACTGTCCATTCCAATATGCAGTCATGAATGAGATGGCATTATTTATACAATTATTACAATAATGCAGTAGTCTGCATAACAGTAAATCTTCTATTTTTTGAGTGAATAAAAATTACATACTATTTCTATTGTAATAATAATAATAATAATAATAATAATAATAATAATAATAATAATAATAATAATAATAATGATAATACATATGATAATAATAGAGTAACGATGCTGTTGGATAGCGATAAAATTGGATACCGACGCATTTTTGCGTAAAAATACTGGCTCGGCCAACGATGAAAAATTCAGTTAAGGACATTCATCCTGAATGTGTCCACGTGGCCTGAGCCCATGTACAAGGTAGTGTGCCATTGTTTACAAGCCAGGGAGAACGATTCCATGCGTACATGAGATATATTTTGTATTATTCCATTGTTTTTAATGCTTGTAACTGCAATAAGCCACCATGGGCCCAGAGAAAGTTTCTAGTGCCAACCCTGTGATAAAGAAGGAAAGAAACACAATAAAATTCAAGAAAAAAACTCATAGCAAAGTACCAAAGTGGAGGAGGAAGAGAGAGGGGTGAATGTGCCTTCTGCAGTGATTCAGTGACTCTACAATATGTGCGATACTAAAACAGCAGGTATCAATAAAGGCTATGGATTTTCATTATTTCTTATGGGGAAAATTAATTCGGCTAACAATAAAATCAGTTAAGGACAAGCTCTCTGGAACGGATTAAAATCGTTACTTGAGGGTCCACTGTAATATAATAATTTATTTATTTTATTTTTTTATTATCACACTGGCCGATTCCCACCAAGGCAGGGTGGCCCGAAAAAGAAAAACTTTCACCATGGATTGCTGGTTTCTTTTTCTGTCTCATAAACACGCTAGATAACAGGGATATCTTGCTACTCCTACTTACACTTTGGTCACACTTCACAGACACGCACATGCATATATATATACATACATCTAGGTTTTTCTCCTTTTTCTAAATAGCTCTTGTTCTTCTTTATTTCTTCTATTGTCCATGGGGAAGTGGAAAAGAATCTTTCCTCCGTAAGCCATGCGTGTCGTATGAGGCGACTGAGATGCCGGGAGCAATGGGTTAGTAACCCCTTCTCCTGTAGACATTTACTAAAAAAGAGAAGAAGAATATAATAATATAACATAATAATAATAATAATAATAATATAATAAATAAAATAATAATACAGGTATAGTAATAATGTACTATATAATAACAATTATAATAACAGATGGCTTCAAAAGGCCATCACTAGATGGCAGTGTTTACCACAACAAAGTGGGAGTGGTTGTGGCTGCCTTTATCTGTTATGTAATGACATTTTATTCATTCTAGAGCATATATCAGATCTCTATGTTATTTATATTGTTTATTATATCATATTAGATGAATTGTGATAGATAAATAAGCCTTATAGATGATATTAGCGAAATCATTCAAGGAGAATTTTGTCCGGTCTCCAGACAAACTCTTGTCTGCCGACGATGCCACTTCATGAATGGCATATTTATTCTAGAGTATATATCAGGCTTCTATGTTATCTATATTGTTTACTATGTCATATAAGATGAATTGTGATAGACAAATAAGCCATAGAGTTGATATTAGGGAAATTATTGAAGTATAGAATTCCACTGAAATGGATTAATTACATTTCACTTAATTTAAATGAAGAAAATTGACTCTGCAAATGAGCAAAGCCAGATGCAAGAAAGGTCCCGGAATGGATTAAACTCGTGAGTGGAGGTTCCACTGTACTTTCCATTCTATCAACTGAGACCAAAAGAACGAAAATACAACCATACGAAAATACACCATAACGTTAGGTTTACATCATAAACACGGTTGCAGTTTTTTCTCATTATGCACTGCATGCTGCATTTTTTTTTTATATAGTGAACACTTACGTCACAGACCTATTTTCTCATATGCTGGCCCAAATTTACCAGTCACAGTTTATCTGAGTGAGCTGAGCTCATGGTGACCGACAGTGGCTTCAAAGCCACTTTATCTTTTATGGATAATGTACTGTGTATGTGCTTTACACAACGAAAAGCAGTTCTTTTACTAACTGGAACCATGGTTAGGACTAAAAGTGAGCAGGTTACAACAATAAATGGAGAAAAAGAAATTGGAGTGACTCGTGCAGCAAGCAGCACCACCAAACAATAGCTGCAGGTTGGTGTGGCGACCGCGGAAATTTGAAATTATGCTGGGTAAAATTAGTGCTGGATTACTGACTGCCAGATTAGTGATGGCCAACCTGTAGAAGGCTGGGAGCTGGAGGTAAGGGACACAGAGCTTGTGGCCCAGTAGAGCAGACTGCAAGAATCTACAAAGCATAGTGCCCTGATTTTGTGCATAAATTGATGGTATGCTGACTCTTTCATGATTTAGCGTGTAACGTTGAGCATTTTCAGATCCTAACTTTATGGTTGCACTTTATCAATAGCATTAAGACAAAATCATGTTTCTTGATTCTGTGTTACTTGAAGGCTTGCAGTGTCATCTGCATTAGTATTCGTTCTTAATCACTATACAAAACAAGGTCTGTCATACAGTACGTCCAAGCACTAAGCGTTGTAGAAGTGACAAACAATATTTGAATACAGTCTTTGTGTCTGTTACTTGGCTCTTCAAAGCATATTGTATCATCTTTTTTTCAGTTTTTGGATTAGATTAAAGTATGCTTGTGTTTTACTATGACAACTTTGTACACCAAAATTTGTCTCTAGGGATGTGTCAAAGTATCAGTGTTGGTGGTATCAGCTGATTTTGATTGTATCAGTATTGGTAATGCAATAAAATTGAGTACCAGTATTGGTGAGTATCAACTAATTTTGATGGTACTGTTAGAGGTACCAACAAATTTTGATGGCACTAGTATTGACTACAGGTATTACCAAAAATTTTGCTATCATGCTATCCCTATTTGTCTCAAGGTAAAAGTCGCTCAAAACTTCAGTGATGTTTCCCAACACTACCTAAGAGAAGCATGTGAGAAGAACCCATGTGTCTTGCTGTATGAAAAACATTTGTTGCAACCTTGTCCTTAAACTTGAGATGTGCCACACATCACAGCAGTGATTGCACACTTTCTTTCATCTACTTCACAGCACAGGGAAGACCTGACACTACCCTGTGAAGGGACAAGTCACAAGAAACTAAGAACATACTCAGATACTGCCTTTTGCTTGTACATATAACCCTTCAAGTTTCGAAAAATGCAGTGGTACTATGCTCATTAGGAATAGTGCTTTCTAAATCCAGTAGACATACTAAATCCGAAGCTATTTTTTCTCACTGAAAGTTGAAGGGATGCTGGAGTCTCAAAGAAATACCTAGGAGTTAATAATAAAACTATCAAATACAAAAGCCAATAAGCAGTTGTACTTGTAAGTTGACACTTATGAATCCATTCTGGAAAACAAAGCTAAAGAATCTCTATTACTATCATTAATAAATAATAAGACAATATATAAGATATATATCAGTGTACAATGCATGAGCAAATGACTAGATAGAGACATGAGCACATCATCCTTTTAACCAATCACAAGGTTCTTTATGGACTTGTGGGTTTAAGTGACACTCCAACACAATAAGAATGGTGCTCTAACATAGGATGAGACCTGGACTATATATACATGTCCAGTGTAATGCAGACCAAAACTAATAATGAAAGACCATAATATACATGCAGTATCAGGGTTATAGGGTTATGAGCTTTAGCCCACATGAAGCTAATGTGTGATATATGAATGCTATGAAAAATATTTCCTCATTAATTGCAAAAAGTATCTGAATGTTGGATGATTTCATTTCCAAGAATTCCTTTTGACACAATTAAAATAATCTTATAAAATAATAAGCAGGCCAGCAATACAATCACCCTATATTCACCCCTTATTTCTTATGGACACAATAATCACAGTGAAACTCAAACCTGTACTTCAGTCATGTGATTGTGCTTCATGACAACAGTAGCCACAGAAAGGCAGCACATGCAGGAAGTCAACAAACCAACAGCAATATAGACTGAGGTTACCAGCCAGAAGGCAAACTGGTACAGACTGTAGTCACAGTATAATCGATCACTTGGCGTGTAACTGGGCTCATAGATGCGGTAAACCCACACACAGCCTGAAAGACAGAAACCAATTAATAAACAAAAACACAAAGAAATGAATCTTGAAATTGGGTCGTTTGATGTGAACCAGCTGTACAGTGTTAAGAGACAGCACAGACACAACATGAAGAAGTTTGAAAAAAGTAAACCAGGAGTATCTGAGAGAGTAAAGGCAAAGAAAGGTGAAATGGTAATTGTGGAAACAATTAAAGAGGCATAAACAGCCTACTTTGAGGACAGTGCAGTTGAGAAAGAAAATACAATGCAAGAAATGTTAAAGGAGTGTAAAAGAGTGTGTGACTGGCAGGTATTTACTAACTGCCTACTGTATACACTGGTAATTATATATAGTCAACTCTTAGTAATTAAGCAACCATAAACTGCCCTCACTCACAAATTAACCCTTTGACTGTCGCAACCCCAAATCCTGAGGTGTCTCCTGGTGTCGCAAAATTTCAGAAAAAAAATTATTTTTTCTTATGAAATGATAGAGAATCTTTTCCCAATTGTAACGGCACAAAAAGAATGAAATTTGATGGAAAACTGATGGAATTAGGCTCTCGTGAAGTTAGCGACCTTGGTGATATTTACGAATCGACGATTTCGCCCACTTTGAGCCCTATTTTCGGCTAATTCCATTGTTCCAGTCGACCAAACTCATAGCTATTTCTTTAGAACTCCATTTGTTCTATCGACTGAGTACAGGAAACTGCCCATTTAACGATTTCAACTACCCAATAACGTGGTCAGAAATTTGCAATTTGGCCAATTTCACGAAAAATAAAAAATATGACATTTTCAAAATAGGGTCCAGAATGAACAATGCAGACATTCCTGGCTCTAAAATAACATTTTCTTTGTTCATCAGTCATGTCTCCAGGCCCCTCTGATATTACTCTTGCTTTTTATTTTGAAATTTTATTCAAACAAAACATAGAAGATTTACTGTTATTCAGACTGCTGCAATATTGTAATAATTGTATAAATAATGTCAACCCATTCATGACTGCATATTAGAATGGCTAGTTGGACATTTATTGGACAATGATATCATTTGTTTACTTTTGAACATTTCCCCTACTTTGAGCTCCATTTCAATGTTCTTTTCATAGTAAAACCAATCAAAATCACCTCTATTTCTATAATATGTTTTCCATTCTATCAAATGCGACCAAGAAAATGAGAATACAACCATAAATACTATACGAAAATAGACCATAAAGTCGGCATTTTAATTAAAAAAAAAAACGGTCGGAGTGTTCTTTTTTCTCATTATGCACTGCGTGCTGCAGGATTTTTTTTATATGGTGCACACTGACCACACAGACCCATTCTCTCACATGTGGGCCTACCAGCTTTCTCCTGCTTGATTTGAAACTGCTAGAATTATTGAGTATATGTACGTCTGAAACACTGGCTCGTAAGATGTATATATATGGCCGAAACAATCAAAGGGTTAAAGGACATATTTTCAATCTCAAAAATATTGTTTATTTTGAATAGGAAGAAATTAGGTTAGGCAAGTTTAAAAGTTTCATTTTAACCCTTTGACTGTTGCAACTTCAAATCTTAAAGTGTCTCTCTGTGTCACAAAATACAGTGGTCCCTCACTTTTCGTAGTTCTCGGCAATCGTAAATTTCGCCAATCATAGGGGTATTTTCGTATAAACATGGACTCGCTTTTCATAGGTTGACTCGTGAATAGTAGTTCGTCCAGGACGCTTACGCACGGTGTGAGCAGGGGAGGCCTCCCTACCCAGCCAGTCTGGCATTGTTTACCAGTGAGTGAAGGTCCCCTCAAGTGCTCCTACGAAATATTTCATAATATTCCACTCATTTTAGTGCTGGCAAGTACTAAATAAGCTACCATGGCTCCAAAGAAAGCTCCTAGTGCCAAGCCTGTGGTAAAGAAGGTGAGAAATATGTACAGTGACAAAGTCTTGTACCATTTTAGGGAAGTGTTAAAGAGACACCAGAAACAGAAACAGTTACTTTGCGAGACAAGACTAGAGTGACTCTCAAGGTGGTCCTAGTGGCATTAAGAAACAGAGAAGAGAAGCAACCCCAGAGAAGCAATTGGTACCTGAGGTGTTGCTGGAAGGGGATTCCCCTTCCAAACTGTAAACAATCCAATCTCTCTCCTCCTCCAGTCTCCCATACACTAAGAAGAATCTCCAATAAAGGTAAGTGTTATGCTGTTAATGTTTCATTCATCATTTCCCATTGTATTGTTTATGTACTAAATGTATATTTCATGTAAAAAAAATTTTTTGTTTTAATACTTCTGAGTGTCAGAAACGGATTAATTGTATTTACATTATTTCTTATGGGGAAAATTGATTCGCAAATCGTAAATTTCATTTATAGTAGCTCCTCCAGGAACGGATTAATTACGAAAAACGAGGGATCACTGTATTCGAATTTTTTTTTTTTTCTTTTACCAAAAATGTTAAGATTGTTTTAAGATCAAAAAAAAATTTTTTTTCCAGTCAGTACTTACTGAGATACAGAGGCATAAAGTTGGCAGAAAATGAACTGTGTATGGCAACAGCGGCGAATGCTGCTCACCCGGTAAAATTATTTTTACTCCCATTCGAAGGTTTCTTGTATTTTCCACTATTTTTTTTTTCAGGTAAATTATGTGGCCTGTGAGACCAAAGTAAGGTGCAATGTACATATACACACTCAATGTATGCAACAAAATAACCACATAAACACTATTTCCCTTATATTGCTTACAAAACTTATTTACACAAACCAACAATACAAAATTTGTTTATTACTATTGTTCTATAATACATATACAAATGTACAGTTACTGGACACTTTCCAAGAACTTCTGCAGCTTGTGGAATTCTTTGAAACACAGTGTAATGCACAGTGGTATTTTGCACTCCTCACACATAAAACGAGTGTCTCTGCATTTTTGTGGGTGTTTTCTGGTATGTGCACAGACATGACACCTCTTCTGAGCATTTTTCTTGAAAGTAGTAGGAGTCAGTTGTATGAGGAGTGATCACCAGGCCTCAAACGAGAGGCCACATGTTGATAATTTTGTGGGCGCTGGTCTATTCCATGTGTTGTTACTTGGTACCGTGGAACCTCCACTAACGAGTTTAATCCATTCTGTGACCTTGCTCACATCTGGATTTGCTAGTTTGCAGAGTCAATTTTCCTCATTTAACCCGTAAACGGTCCAAATGTATATATACATTCACTACCCCAGTTATTCTGAAAATTAAAAAAAATTTTTTTTTTATATAGAAATAAAGAGAACATTTTTCGAAGTGTTACAGGATTAAAATGAAAAAATTAGGGTCAGTACTTACTGAGATATGAGGCTGCAAATTTGGCACTTAATGCTCACCTCATGGCAACATCGAGTTCTGCTGCTTGCAAAAGTGTTGCTGATATACCTTTTTTCCTCATTTTTAAATTATTTTATATAATTTTTATGTTCTGATAATTATAATTTATAGTAGTTCTTGTGATTTCATAACCAATTTTTGTTCTGACACTAATATTAGGTACTGAAACTGTACTCAAATTGTCACAAACACACTGACAACAAAATGCAAGGAGGCTGAGGAGAGGTTTGTACCCAAGGGTAACAGGAGTAATGAAAAAGCCAGGATGAGCCCATGGTTTACCCAAAGGTGCAGGGAGGCAAAAACCAAGTGTGCTAGGGAATGGAAGAAATATAGAAGGCAAAGGACCCAGGAGAATAAGGAGAACAGTCGTAGAGCCAGAAACGAATATGCACAGATAAGAAGGGAGGCCCAAAGACAATATGAAAATGACATAGCAGCGAAAGCCAAATCTGACCCGAAACTGTTGTACAGCCACATCAGGAGGAAAACAACAGTCAAGGACCAGGTAATCAGGCTAAGGAAGGAAGGAGGAGAGACAACAAGAAATGACCGTGAAGTATGTGAAGAACTCAACAAGAGATTCAAAGAAGTGTTCACAGAGGAGACAGAAGGGACTCCAGAAAGACGGAGAGGTGGGGCACACCACCAAGTGCTGGACACAGTGCACACAACGAGGAAGAAGTGAAGAGGCTTCTGAGTGAGCTAGATACCTCAAAGGCAATGGGGCCAGATAACATCTCCCCATGGGTATTGAGAGAGGGAGCAGAGGCGCTATGTGTACCCCTAACAACAATATTCAATACATCTATCGAAACAGGGAGATTGCCTGAGGCATGGAAGACAGCAAATGTAGTCCCAATCTTTAAAAAAGGAGACAGACATGAAGCATTAAACTACAGACCAGTGTCACTGACATGTATAGTATGCAAAATCATGGAGAAGATTATCAGGAGAAGAGTGGTGGAACACCTAGAAAGGAATGATCTCATCAACAGCAGCCAATATGGTTTCAGGGACAGGAAATCCTGTGTCACAAACCTACTGGAGTTCTATGACATGGTGACAGCAGTAAGACAAGAGAGAGAGGGGTGGGTGGATTGCATTTTCTTGGACTGCAAGAAGGCGTTTGACACAGTTCCACACAAGAGATTGGTGCAAAAACTGGAGGACCAAGCAGGGATAACAGGGAAGGCACTACAATGGATCAGGGAATACTTGTCAGGAAGACAGCAGCGAGTCATGGTACGTGGCGAGGTGTCAGAGTGGGCACCTGTGACCAGCAGGGTCCCGCAGGGGTCAGTCCTAGGACCAGTGCTGTTTCTGGTATTTGTGAACGACATGACGGAAGGAATAGACTCTGAGGTGTCCCTGTTTGCAGATGACGTGAAGTTGATGAGAAGAATACACTCGATCGAAGACCAGGCAGAACTACAAAGGGATCTGGACAGGCTGCAGACCTGGTCCAGCAATTGGCTCCTGGAGTTCAATCCCACCAAGTGCAAAGTCATGAAGATTGGGGAAGGGCAAAGAAGGCCGCAGACGGAGTACAGTCTAGGGGGTCAGAGACTACAAACCTCACTCAAGGAAAAAGATCTTGGGGTGAGTATAACACCAGGCACATCTCCTGAAGCGCACATCAACCA